AGGGTTGGACGAACGCGCCTCGCCCAATTCTCCAACCCAACTCAGCAAGGTTGGGTTTGCCATGTACGCAACCCCAACCAGCAAGGCAAACGCTGCCTTGCTCCTCACGAAAAACCATCGCGATAGCTACGACTACTTATGACTCGTCAGAGTCACTGGTCGTCGTGAGCATCTCCGGACTAGTCCACACAAACTAGACATAGTCTTCGGACGCAACGGTTAGTCCGTGCACTTTGGTCACGCCAACCCGCAGCTGCCAGGCAATCGGTGCACCGACATAAGTCGGTCAACGCCTGGCTGCCCGCAGCTGCAGTAGGGCTTCCAACACATCCCGTCTTCTCCCCTTTCATTCCACTTTCTCCCCCCGTGAGAGGGTATTACGTGTGTACACCTAGGCCTTTCCACCAATTTGCGCACCTCTTAAACGAGGTGACGACTAGGAACAGAGAGCTGGTGACGACAAGGCTCGCTATGCTTCTCGAACACCAATTAATTGCCGCGCGATCTCGCCGACCACGTGCCCTCTCCCAAGGACCCGTGCACGTGGACAGATTCTTTCACCGAGCTAGATTGGCGCTTATTCTCCGCGAGCTTGCCTATAGCGTTTTCACCTCTACGTGCCGCCGCTGTTGAACGGCACAGTATTTTTTGTGTGATAATAAATGTCATAAACATCAGGGGGTCTGCTCTTGCCCGTTCGCGCGCCGGTTATTTTTTTAGACTAGGGAAAAGGCTAGGGAGCTGTGCTAAGCTAGCATAGGTGTTGGATTCTCCTACATCTGAGAAGCAATAGCACAACCAGGGCTCACTTGGTGACGGGTGTTCGCATGGACTTTGTTTTGGTTGAACCATACGACCCTCGAGATTGTCGCGGCGTGTTTCCCTGATGAGTTACGACTGCTCTGTTCCGTTAGCCAATGGTTGCGCGCTGCAAAATCGCAGCATTTGCCTTTTCGCGTCGGGATAGGTGTAACACTGCAGATCGGGTTCTTTTCTCTGATCCCCAAAAAACTAATAATTTAAGTGCGCCCCCCCTTTGCTATTCTAGCCTATGGTTTTAAGTTGATTCAACAGAAAATTAATGCAAGCGGTATCAGTAAGTTCTTCATATGCTAAATTCGACCTAGCTACGTTGTATCATTATCTGATAACTACACCTGGCTTTAAAGCAAGGGTCTCAAGAATCAGAAAACCAAATCCAAAGGTTTTGGAAAACCAACCGTCATTGACCGGTTTACCCAAAATAACCAGCAACACTCAACGACAAGGCCAACGAGCATTCCGATAGGTCCAAACTCACCAACCAAACTTGTGCACGATGCCTCCCTACCACCCAGTCGCACACTCAAGAACAAGTCCCTAAGGTTTTGCTTACCATTTGAGACGTTCGCTCCACCGTTTTCCCCGCTGTCAAACTCGCTAGCCATAGGAGGTAAGCTTCATATCACCCTCGCCGCCTGTGTTTAAATGCTTAAATTATGCCCGCGAGATGTTGTTCACAGTAGGGCATAGGCATGGACAACGGAGCAGTATTGTCGCCCGCCATTAGCGCCTCGTAGTCCAACAATAATTCGTTTCCCAAAAAGCCATCGAACCAGGACGCGAGAAACGCCCGTTTCACAGCTCGTATTTGAGCGTCACCTGTCCCGCCAAATTCACAACGCGATGAATTCGTCCCGCAACTCACTCTTTGCTCACATATCGCCCTAATTCCCCCACCTCAGCCCGCTCCCTCTTGAGCATATATTTTAGCAACGCCGCCACGAAGGCCTGCTCGCCCCATCACTTGCATCTCCCCTCCAGCTCGCCACGCCACTTGCGTTGTCCCCCCCCAGTTCACTTTCGTCTCCCCCCCAGCTCGCCGCACCACTTACGTCTCCCCCCCAGCTCACCGCGCCACTTGCATCTCCCTCTCAGCTCGCCGCGCCACTTACGAGAGGGGGATAGGCGGATAGGAGCGTAAGAAGGTGGTTTAGAAAGGGGGACAGTCGGATAGAAGCGTTAGAAGGTGGTTTAGAGCGGGGGGGGGGGGGGGGGGGCAGATAGGAGCGTTAGAAGGTGATTTAGAGAGGGGGAGAGGGCACATAGGAGCATGGTAAGGTGGTTTAGAGAGGGGGAGAGGCGGATAGGAGCGTGGGAAGGCGGTATATAGAGAGGGAGAGGCGGATAGGAGCGTGGTAAGGTGGTTTAGAGAGGGGGAGAGGCGGATAGGAGCGTGGTAAGGTGTTTTGGAGAGGGGGGAAGGGCGGATAGGAGCATGGTAAGGTGGTTTAGAGAGGGGGGAAGGGCGGATAGGAGCGTGGTAAGGTGGTTTAGAGAGGGGGGAAGGGCGGATAGGAGCGTGGTAAGGTGGTTTAGAGAGGGGGGAAGGGCGGATTGGAGCGTGGTAAGGTGGTTTAGAGAGAGGGGAAGGGCGGATAGCAGCGTGGTAAGGTGGTTTAGAGAGGGGGGAAGGGCGGATTGGAGCGTGGTAAGGTGGTTTAGAGCTAAGTTGCACTAAACGCTCGAAATCCGCAGCGTTTGCCGTATATACGCTACGTATATATGCTATACGCTATACGAGCGTATAAACGCTGTACGCTCGGCTGAAATTTCAGGGGCAGCCCGTAAAAAAAAAAAAAAAAAAAAAAAACGATCGCCACTTCGCGACGTGGCGAAGCCAGCCACACTATCGCGAAATATCGAGACCCCAAATTTTTGCCCAAAACCAACTTCCATCCAATCTGCCCTCCCCAACCACACTGCACCCCAAGGCATCTACCTATCCCAACCAAACCTAAAACGTGCCCTGAGTCTCTCTACCACCAAACACATTATACCCACACCAGATCTCGTAACTTACCAGCAGCGCTAGGCGGCAGATTCAGCTACGATCAAACCTTAGGGAGCGCCGCGTCGAGTCATTTTTTAGGCAGCGCAATGTCGACCCCCCCAGGATCATCCTGTCGTAGCTGCAGCAGCTTCCGAGTCGTCTAACAAGTATGCACCTGATAGTACTCATGAGGTTTACAAGCACTTCAAGCTCTTGCTTCCTCAGCCTGGTGGAGGCGCGGAGAGGTACGAGTGCACGTTTTGCGCGGCGGTTTTTTGTGGAATGCCAATCAGGTGTGCGCAGCATCTCACTGGGTGGGATAATATGAGGCGTCGTGAGGTTGCATTGTGCGTGGCGGCGCCAAAGGAGGCCCGTGATGAAATGCGTGCTCTATATGAAAAAAGGGCAGGCTAAGGCGTCAAAGCAGAATGCGACAGATGCAGCAGTTGCTGCTGTCGGAGGAGGGGAGGGGGAACACGCCAAGATCACTGATTTCTAGGCTGCACTTGCGCGGAAGGAGGCCGACGAGGCGTTGTGTCTTATGTTCGCCGGCCTCCGCATCCCGGAGCACCACGTCCGCCACCCGCTCTTCATCAATGCAGTGCAGGCAATCGATGCTACCGAATCTACCTACATGCCTCCCAACCGCAACTACATTGGCGGTGCAGGGTTGAAGGCTGTCCGCACGCACATCGACAAAGGGCTGCAACCGATTCGGGAGACTTGGGAAGGCACCGGTGTGACGATTGCCCCCGACATGATGACCAACCGGAATGGCCGACCACAGGCGAATGTCCTCCTTGTGAACGACTCGGGAGCTGTCTTCGTGGTGAGCATTGATTGCCGGATGGAGAGCAAGACTGGCGGCTACATCGCCGGCCTCTTGCGCCCCATCCTGCTTAAGGTCGGACCAGAGAATGTGGTCGCACTTTGCATGGATGGCGGAAGCAACTACGGCAAGGCGTGCCGGGTTCTGACCCAGGAGAATCCGCACATCCAGCAGGTTCCGTGCGCCACCCACGTGCTGGACCTGATGATGGAGGACATCGGGAAGCAGCCGTGGGCGAAGAATGTCATCCTCCGCGCAAACGAAGTCATTACCTACGTACGCAACCACCACTGGACGAGGAATTACTTCCGGGAGCCGGGGGAGCCAGGCGGCAAGGTGCTGCAGATGTTGTAGCCGGCGGGCACTCGGTTCGGCACTCAATACATAGCCGTGTCCCGGCTTGTCAAGCTAAGGGAGAAGCTAGCGCAGCTGGTGTCAGGCAAGCAGTGGAAGGCATGGGTGGTTGGGAAGCAGAAGGAGGTGGCCCATGAGATCCAGAGCATCATCTTGGATTGGGCTTGGTGGGCGGCAGCAGAGTTCTTCGTGAAGCTGTTGAATTTGCCGTACAACGTCATGCGGGCTACAGATTCGTCGGCAAAGGGGATGATGGGCAACATTTATGAACTCATGCTAAAGCTTACCGAGGATGTGCATGGCCTGCTGAAAAAGGATGATGAGCAGCTGCGGCCAGCCGACAAGAAGGGGATGACAAAGATCCTGCAGAAGCGGTGGGACAGAAGTATGGCTTGCCCCATGCATGCGGTTGGCCGGATCCTCAATCCGGCCAACCAAAAAGAGAAGATTTTTGGCCCAGACACTGAGTGCACCAAGCTTTTCAAGGCTTTTATCAGTGACTACAGTAAGAGCATCGCCATCTCCAGGAAGGAGGTGAAGGGCAAGAGCACGGCAGTTGTTCTGCAGCAAGGGGTCACGGCGTTCTTGAAAATGAGGGGGAGCTTTGGTATGCCTACTGCAATCGAGCAAAGGGCGGACGTGAAGGCGGGGATGATGACAATGGAGGAATGGTGGATGTGGCATGGCACCAATTGTCTCGAGCTTGCAACGCTGGCGCGCCGTGTACTCACGCAGCCGGCATCTGCCGCCAGCTGCGAGCGCGGATGGTCGGTGTGGAGTCGGTGCACACTGCGTGCCGCAACCGGCTCGGATCAGAAAAATGCAGGGTCTTGGTGTACGTTGCGCACAACTGGAACGTTGTGCACAACTGGCACCTGTCCAGCGAGGAGGAGAGGGTGGTGCTCGCCGGGAACATCCTAGAGCCGCCCACCCCGACGGGCTACAATGTGGATGCGGAGGGGGGGCTGGTGGATGATGACCTGGAGGATGAGGCAGTACTGCATGATGAGTATGGGGATGAGGAGGAGGAGGGAGGAGGAGGAGGAGGAGGGAGGAGGAGGAGGAGGAGGAGGAGGAGGAGGAGGAGGAGGAGGAGGAGGAGGAGGAGGAGGAGGGAGGAGGAGGAGGAGGAGGAGGAGGAGGAGGAGGAGGAGGAGGAGGCTGAGGGTTAGGGGGATGTGCTGCAGGTTTGGCAAGCATGCATTTGGGGGAGATGGGGGACGTGGGAGTGTGTTAGCGGGGTAGTACTTAAATGGCTGAGGGAAGGGAAGGGCCTTTGGGGGAAACCTTGACATGTCAGTTATACGCTAGCGTATCAAACGCCATACGCGTTTAGTGCAACTTAGGTTCAGAGAGGGGGGAAGGGCGGATTGGAGCGTGGTAAGGTGGTTTAGAGAGGGGGGAAGGGCGGATTGGAGCGTGGTAAGGTGGTTTAGAGAGGGGGGAAGGGCGGATTGGAGCGTGGTAAGGTGGTTTAGAGAGGGGGGAAGGGCGGATTGGAGCGTGGTAAGGTGGTTAAGAGAGGGGGGAAGGGCGGATAGGAGCGTGGTAAGGTGGTTTAGAGAGGGGGGAAGGGCGGATAGGAGCGTGGTAGGGTGGTTTAGAGAGGGGGAAGGGCGGATAGGAGCGTTAGAAGGTGGTTTAGAGAGGGGGGAAGGGCAGATAGCAGCGTGGTAAGGTGGTTTAGAGAGGGGGGAAGGGCGGATAGGAGTGTGGTAAGGTGCTTTGGAGAGGGGGGAAGGGCGGATTGGAGCGTGGTAAGGTGATTTAGAGAGGGGGGAAGGGCGGATAGGAGCATTAAAAGGTGGTTTAGAGAGGGGGGAAGGGCGGATAGGAGCGTGGTAAGGTGGTTTAGAGAGGGGGGAAGGGCGGATAGGAGTGTGGTAAGGTGCTTTGGAGAGGGGGGAAGGGCGGATTGGAGCGTGGTAAGGTGATTTAGAGAGGGGGGAAGGGCGGATAGGAGCATTAAAAGGTGGTTTAGAGAGGGGGGAAGGGCGGATAGGAGCGTGGTAAGGTGGTTAAGAGAGGGGGGAAGGGCGGATAGGAGCGTGGTAAGGTGGTTTAGAGAGGGGGGAAGGGCGGATAGGAGCGTGGTAGGGTGGTTTAGAGAGGGGGAAGGGCGGATAGGAGCGTTAGAAGGTGGTTTAGAGAGGGGGGAAGGGCGGATTGGAGCGTGGTAAGGTGATTTAGAGAGGGGGGAAGGGCGGATAGGAGCATTAAAAGGTGGTTTAGAGAGGGGGGAAGGGCGGATAGGAGCGTGGTAAGGTGGTTTAGAGAGGGGGGAAGGGCGGATAGGAGCATTAAAAGGTGGTTTAGAGAGGGGGAAGGGCGGATAGGAGCGTTAGAAGGTGGTTTAGAGAGGGGGAAAGGGCGGATAGCAGCGTGGTAAGGTGGTTTAGAGAGGGGGGAAGGGCGGATACGAGTGTGGTAAGGTGCTTTGGAGAGGGGGGAAGGGCGGATTGGAGCGTGGTAAGGTGGTTTAGAGAGGGGGGAAGGGCGGATAGGAGCGTTAAAAGGTGGTTTAGAGAGGGGGGAAGGGCGGATAGGAGCGTGGTAAGGTGGTTTAGAGAGGGGGGAAGGGCGGATTGGAGCGTGGTAAGGTGGTTTAGAGAGGGGGGGAGGGCGGATAGGAGCGTGGTAAGGTGGCTTAGAGAGGGGGGAAGGGCGGATTGGAGCGTGGTAAGGTGGTTTAGAGAGGGGGGAAGGGCGGATTGGAGCGTAGTAAGGTGGTTTAGAGAGGGGGAGACGCGGATAGGAGCGTGGTAAGGTGGTTTAGAGAGGGGGAAAGGGCGGATTGGAGCGTGGTGAGGTGGTTTAGAGAGGGGGGAAGGGCGGATAGGAGCGTGGTAAGGTGGTTTAGAGAGGGGGAAAGGGCGGATAGGAGAGTGGTAAGGTGGTTTAGAGAGGGGGGAAGGGCGGATTGGAGCGTGGTAAGGTTGTTTAGAGAGGGGGGAAGGGCGGATTGGAGCGTGGTAAGGTGGTTTAGAGAGGAAGGAAGGGCGGATAGGAGCGTGGTAAGGGGGTTTAGAGAGGGGGGAAGGGCAGATAGGAGCGTGGTAAGGTTGTTTAGAGAGGGGGGAAGAGCGGATAGGATCATGGTAAGGTGGTTTAGAGAACTGAACTAAAAACAGAGAAAATGAGAGGGAGAGGGCCTTATATAGCTAGGAAAGGACCCATGCTCTCTCTCTCTCTCTCTCTCTCTCTCTCTCTCTCTCTCTCTCTCTCTCTCTCTCTCTCTCTCTCTCTCTCTCTCTCTCTCTCTCTCTCTCTCTCTTAAGCGGTCCTTAGGTATTAGCCTTATAAGTTGTACAGGTACAATTCAGAAATGTAAAGCATCCTGTGATCCCCAGAAGCAGCCTACCGCTGCTCGGGAGACCTCATCTAGGCTTCAATCGTTGCTTCTAACTCCCCCCAGGTGAGAGGCGTCTCCATGTCGGCTCCAAAGGCAAAGGCTTTTTCTTTGCAGAGGCTGACCTTGCTGTGCAGCGTCATGGCCTGCTGCCTCTGGAGTGTGACCGCCCAGCGCTGGCGGTATGAGGGTGCCATTTTCTGGGCGAGCGCGGACTTTCTGTCCGCGTTGTGGTTGCTGGTGGCCGCCAGCCCTGCGAGGAGGGAGAGAACCTCTACCATGTCGGCCGAGCAGCACCCGTAGGTCTCTTTAGCCACCCCGAAGACGTTGACAAAGGTGAGAGACTCGTCGTAGAGGTCGCGTTTCTTCTCCTGGGCTTCGGCAGCAGCCCATCCGGTGCCTTTCCTCGCGTGGGGGTCGCGGGAGGAGATGGGGTCGGTGATGGTTACATCGCAGACCCAGACCTGTCTCGAGTCGGGGTGGCGCAGCGTGATGTCTGCTCGCCGTTGGGAGGTTTCAGGGAGGTACAGCGTAGATTCCTTGCGGGCGATCGAGCCGGCCTCCTTGGCTAGGCACATGCCTAGGTTCACGAGGCCATTGTGGGTCCGCTTGGGTCCCCCTCCCAAGGTACACCGCAGGAGGTGGTTAGGGAGGCGAGGGTCCATCAGCTCCTTTATGCCGCTGCAGTTGCATCGGCTGGGGATGGAGTGTTGCAGTCCCATGCGAAACGCCAGGGCGGTGGCGAAGTGCCCTGGGCTGAGGCTGAGGTCTGGTGTGAATGGTATGGCCGCCAGCCAATCGCCCGTTCCCGGGCCGAGGAGGGACAAGAGCTGCTGCGTGTGGCCGAGAAGGGGGTTGAGGGTGATGTCCCTTGTCTCGGCCACCAGGCGGCGATGCCGCTCGCCCTGGACCTCGAGGGCCAGGGCGTGTTGGAGCTTGCTGGCGCGAGGTGGAGGGAGGCGAGGAGGCTGGCTGCCGCCGTTGTTGAGGCGAGGTAACAGTACCCGCCTTCAGCGAAGGGGGTCCGTGAGCCTGAGTCCCCCTATCGTTTTTGTCAGGGTTGCCTGCCGCCATAGGAGGTCCTTCTCCGCCGCTTGCCTGGGTTCCTGGAGGCCGCAGGATGCCAAGGTGTTGGCGAGCAGGCGCTGTCCCCATGCTATCCATTCTGCATCGGGCAGGAGGTCCGGGGGTGTGGAGCGTAGCAGGAAGGCTGCCTTGCGCCCTACACACCTGGTCAGGAGGAGGAATGCCAGCTGCGGGTGGAGTTGCTGGACCAGGGGGAGGGTGGCGGCAGCTTTCTCTAGCGCTTCGCGAAGGAAGGCCGCGCAGCCTGCGCGGTTTCCCACCGGGCTCCCTAGGATTCGGAGAGCCCCCGTCACGATGGGTACCCCCTCCGGCGCGTGCTGGAGGGCGGTCTCGCTTGTGGACCAGGCCCCGCACTTGGCAGGGTTGCACGCCAGGCCTGCTGCTGCGATGGCGTTGGTAAAGTGGTAGAACGCCGCCTCGCATTCTTCGGGCGGCCCCATGAGGGTCACATCGTCAGCATAGGCCAGGGTGAGTACTTGAGGGTAGGCCTCTGCTGTGGCCACGAGGGCAGGGTGTAGGGTGATTGCGAATAGCACTGGTTCCAGGGGGTCCCTCTGCCATACTCCTCGCTCGCTGAGTAACAGGGGGGAGCTGAACTCGTGGTCCAGGAACAGCGGCGCACAGCTTCTGTATGTGGTGAGCACGAGGGGGAGGAGCCCCGTGAGCAGGCTATTCCGCAGGGCCTCCACCATGGCTGCGCATTCCGCGGAGTTGAAAGCGTTTACCATGTCGACTTGGAGTACGAGGTCGTCCGGGTTCAACTGGAGATGCGTGCGGGAGGTGTGGATCGTTACCTCCGTGCCGCCGGGGACGCACACGCCGAACTGCAGCAGCGTGAGGTAGGCTGCCGCTGCCAAGGAGGTGAGCGTGATCGCCACCTTGTTGACGACGTGTAGCAGGCATTCGCCCACGGCTATTGGGCAGACGCCGCCTCCTGGCTTTCTGAATGCCAGGAGTCGCGAGGAGGAAAGGAGTGTTGTCGCCTCTTCGGGAATGTTTCCAGCGAGCACCGTGTTTGTGAGCACTGTTAGGTGGCTCATGATGTCGGCGTTTGTCAGGGCTGCTTCCCTCAGATGTTGGAACATGGTGCCCGACGGACCTGCCCCGACTCCGTTCGGGCAGTGTCGAAGTACCACCCATAGCTCCGTGACTGATATTTGCGGTAGTGGGCTTGCTGTCTGCGCCATGGGTCCTCTGGTGGGGGGTTGTTTGCGTAGGGCCCATGCGGGTAGGGCGCGTTCCGCTCGGGGGTGTTTCGCCCTGAGTGCAGCGAGCGTTTCGGTCATTGGTTTGCAAATGGGGGTGGACTCCAGTGCCTGGACTGCTTTGCGTAGGTTACCCCGTTTCACCAGGGTTTCCGCCCTAGCGAGCTTGCCTTTGGCGTCAGCTGCATGTCGTGGGGCTGGGGGCAGCTGTGACGAGGCCACTGCCTCTTCGTAAAGCTCGCACCACTCGCCTGTCGCAAACTGGCGTAACCGGTGTAACAAGTGTTTGACATCGGATGCTCTGGTGGACTGTGTGGCTAGTGTTAGCCGAGGCAGAAACATGAGCAGGCGCCAGCCTGGCACTGAGTCTCGGTTTGCTGCCACGTGGAGCAGCGGCGTCAGCAGAGAAGACGCGAAGGCTGTCAGTATTTCGCGGGGGAGTCGCCGCGCCAGTGGTGGCAGGCGACCGTCGCGAAGCTTGTCCAGGTCCCAGCTGGCAACGAACTCAAAGAGTTCAGTTTTGTTCGCGAGAGCCAGCGGGGACAGTACTGTCCGAGCTGACGTTGACCGGCGGGAGGTTGCCGAGCCGCGTCGGGTGTTGGAGAATGCGCCTCGGTTCTGCCGAATGCCATCCCGCCGGTCTGCGCCTCGGGGTGGGGTTTCTTCCACTTCCGAATCTCCCCCACCCAGTATGCCTTCCTCGAATACCCCCATTTCGGGGGTATACGTGCGGTCGTTTCCGTCAATCAAATCATCGTCCGCTCTCTCCCTCCCTTTCAAGCCCCCATTTTCGTCCCTCGTAGCAACTGCTCGTATCGGTGTGACTGCGTCTCCTAATTGGGCATTTTCCACTGCCTCCTCGTTGCCTCTGTGGTTCGAGTTTCCACCCTCGGTGCCGTCCTTGTCACTACTTCCGGTAGCCGTCTGAGCCGCCGCGTCCGCTCTGTTAAGCTGCTGCTGGGCGGTCCGTTGGAGGCACGCCGCTGTCGCTCGGAAGCTGCGGCGCCCGCTCTGTACCGGTCCGTTGCGGCCACCTCTCCGTCCTCCGCCGTGCCCCCGGTCTAGCCTCCTGCCACGTTGGTTCGGCGCTTCTGCTATCCTCCCGCGCCACTGCCCCCTTCCGCTTGCGGTGGTGCATCCCGTCGTCGCATCGTCATCGCGAGGCGATGACGTAGGGGATGCTCCTTTCCCCTTCGCGCCGTCCTCGGCGGGAAGGGGATGGTTCCCCATCGCCGTTGGGCTCGTCCTCCGGCGAGTCATCGGCGTTGTCGCCGACCTCGTCACTGCGCTGCGAGCTTCGCGCACTGGGGTTGCAGGTTGCTGCCCTGACGCGGGCGATTTTGCTACTGCAGCGCCCGTCGCCGCTGCAACCGGCGGCGGGTGTCCCCTCGCCGCTCCAGGGGTCCCCTCTGGCGGACGCGCGTATGGCATCGCCCACGGGTCGGTCGCCTCCCTCTCCAGGCGGTCCTCCGCCCCCGCTTCCTCCGCTACCCGTTTCGTCGCCTCCCCCTTCCCCGCCTGCTCCGTCGTTGCCTCCCCCTCCACCCCCACCCCCTCCGTCTCCGCCTGCACCTCCTCAGCCGCCGCTAGTGGCACCACCAGCTGCCGGCGCTTGTGGCGGGGCAGCGGGGCTTGGCCGACCTCTGGCCTCTCCGCCCTCTCCTGAGCGTCCCCCAAAGCGGCTCCGTCATGGCGGCCCGGGTGGGTCACTTGTCCCGTCGCGCTTGCCTCCCCTGCACAGAAGATGAAGGGTCCTTGGAGTGATGCCCGTCCGTTTGTCAGCGGCGTCGCCGCGCCGTCCGGGCCTGGCGTGCGGTGCGTCGGATCCGCCTCTGCAGCGTGGCTCGGAGTCGTCGCGTAGCGGGGGGTGTTCTTGCCTGCGGCCCGCTGTAGTGCCACATTCTCCGGTGGAGGCGATGGCCGGGGTCGTTGCTTGTATTGGAGCTGTGGCGGAGGTGCTGAATTGCCTCCGCCCCCCACCTTTGCAGCCCCCTCCGCGGAAACCAGAGGCTGGGCGTCAGTGGCGGCCCGCGATGTCCCGCCGCCAGCAGCGGCGCGCCGTCGATGAATTGAATCGGTCGCTCGTGGTGAATCAGCGCCCGGCGATCTTGGCCGCTTGCATGGCTGTGCTTCGGGCACTGGAGAGTCGGGCTGGTGCCCTTGTCCCACCGTTGCCGCTGGAGCAGTAGGAGCGGGGTAGCCGGCCACCGAGTTAGGCCGTTCCCCGCCTTTAGGCGCTGCATTGGGTGTTGTAGCCATAGGTTCTAGGCTAGGAGGTGGCCCCCACCGGGGGCATGTGTGTATGCCTGTATGTTGCAGCTGATGTTGTCACGTTTGCCGCCCCTCTTGCCGCTCCCCGCCCCCTTATCGCGCGGCCATAGGCCGCGCCGCGAGCGGCGGCGGCCGAAGGCCGCCGGCACGAGCGCCGCCGCCAAAAGCTTAAGGATGAACTCAGTTTTAAACCAAATAATGAGCTTGCAGATGTGCTCGCAGGCCTTATATACCATGGGCACTCCGCCCTCTCTCTCTCTCTCTCTCTCTCTCTCTCTCTCTCTCTCTCTCTCTCTCTCTCTCTCTCTCTCTCTCTCTCTCTCTCTCTCTCTCACTCTCACTCTTTCTCTCCCCCCCCCCCCCCTCCTACTCTCCCTCCCTCCCTCCCTCCCTCTCCCTCTCTCTCTCTTTGTTGCGGCATTTTTGCCGCGATGTGTGCACCTGGCAGCCTGCGCCTTTCCTAGGTCTTTTGCTCAATCCCTTCCCAGTCTCTCCCGTCTCCCGCCACGCTCGTTCTCCCCCACTTTTCCGCGCCCGTCCTGCTCATCCCCCATTGCCCACTATGTCGCCTACTTTTCTGTCGTATTATCTGCATGCCGCTTCCTGCTATCACGCTTCGGTCGTCAGTCCTTATCTCTCCCTACAGTTTCACCTGTCACCTCCGCTCGGGTCGCTGGTCCTGGCTTGTTGCATTTCCCTCGCTTCGCTCGTCGCGCCATTCATGCGTCACGCATCCTACGCGCCAATTTAGTGCCCCCCCTTACCCGCGATAGTGGCCATTGGTGAGTGGGGGTCTGTCCCCTTGCGAACTGCGGGATTGTGCCCTCGGCACGACGCCCTCCCACCTCGACGTGGCCTCTCCCTGCGCGGGCCCTCTTGGCTTTTCCTTTGTTTCTTCTAGCCGCGTCTATCTGGAGATGGTGAATCCTCCCTTTGGCTGGGACGAGCCTCCTTTGGGGGCGTTTCTGCTTTGAGCGAGTGTTGCTCGGTGCGTGCTACAGTTTTTAGGGCATTGTGTCTAGTTAAATGCCGGACTCTCTACACTGGAGGCAGATTATTCAGCACGCGTTCGTTCCTGCTAGGTAGTTGCGCTCTCAGGAGAACTGGTGCACTCTCTAGGGTTTACAATTGGCAGTCTGAGTTAGTTCGGAGTTGGTGAATTCGTCGCACAGGCCCTTGTTTCCTGTCGTCACGCCCAGTGCTGAAACCGTTGGTTTTCTTGAACGTGTCACAAAGGCGTGTTTATTCACCCAGTTACGTCACGCGGTTTTGAACCCCCCCCCACGTCGCTGAGTCGTTTTATCCACAATGGCCCGTCATCTTTCCATTTTTTTGTCGCGCTTTTTTGTGCCACGAGTTTTTATGAACACGCCCCACCAACTTGTATCCCATCACTGTAGCCAGCAAGGCATTCCAACCGTCACAAGATCCAGGCGAAGTACTTAAAGCCCGAGTCTACATTGGTTGGCTATCAAGTTCAGGATTCCTGAACTTGCTTTCGTAAAAGTTGGGGTAACCTAGTGAAGGGGACCAGCACGTCGCAACCCCTGGGGAAATGGGGCAGCGTGCGAATTTCGCTACATGAGACAAACCTCGAACGTACTGTTCACTCATACTTAAAATTGAAAACGCCTGGTACCATTCTAGACGCATTTTTTGCCGGGACTCACTGCGCGGGAAATGCTTTGTACAGTTTGCCCCCCCACCCCCAAAGTTGTCACTGTTTGCGCACTGTTGATTACAAGTTGTTGGGTTCCTTTTGTGTTGCGTGCGACCCTTTTTTTTTTCTGAGAAGTATTTTTCGCCAGGGGAGCTTTGCCGAAATTGTTTTCGTCCAGTGTTTTTGGCACTGTTTCCATGATCAGTAAACATGGTTTTTTACCATTCTAGATTCGGGCTTTAACATTCTCGCAGGGGCGGATTGTTTTTTTTTCGCTGTTTGTTTGGGGGTTCTTGGATCCACTCGCCCATTTCGCATGTGACCAAAACCAAAACCTTTGGATTTGGTTTCCTGCGTCTTGAGACCCTTGCTTTCATGATTAGGGAAGTCGATGGCTGTGTTCTACAGGCATTTGACGTTGACGTCGAAGTCGACATTGAGGAAGCTTCCCTAGCGATTTCAAGAGCAATGGTTACTACTCAAACCAGGTGCACTTTCGAAACCTCGCTTGGAAGCCACGCGGCCCAATTGTGGAAAGCGCAAGCGGAAGGAGAGAGCGGCGAATTTCAAAAATGCGCAACAGAAACCTGCTACCCCAGGGCAGCAGAGAAATATTCCGGAGCAAAATGATGATAAAATAACCTACAATGAGGTAACATGCCCTCACAACCCCACTACCTCACAAGAGCACCGAAGTCCATTCATCCCTCAGAGCGCAATGGACGGAGAGTTGTTCGACCCGTTTTGCAGGGCAGGCCCAAGTTCGAGAGGCGGGGTAAAGTGGTGGCACTGGTTTGTTTTGGGGTGTGGAGGCCTAGTACACCCTTGCAGCTGATGTAACGCCACACGCAAGGTGAACTCCGCGATTGAGCGAACGTCAGCATTGCGTCACGTTTGCGTCAAATTTGCCAGGGAGGGAAGCGAGGGGGGTGTTTCCCTGGCGTATATGACATCTGTACATGGACCTGTTCTGCACGCATGTTGATGTAACTAGGTTCGGGTACCTTGTGCCAGGTTTGGATGAAATTTTGCGGGCTGACCCTCGATCCGAAGCAAAAAATCAGGCTTTCGGAAGGTGCTCTGATGTAATCTGCACTTTCCTTTTTTGCCTGCAGAACGCAGCCGATGTCATTTCCAACGAAGGCTGCGCCCGCAGCCCTGCTTGCTTCCAGCGAAGCCTCGAGTTGACCTCGCCACCTTCGCCAGAACCAGAACCTGCCCCCTGAGCCACTGTAGCACGCAATTGAGAGTCGAGTTTTGAGGTGTCTAAAAATATGCCTCACCGCCTTCGCCAGAACCCGCCCCTCGAGCCACTGTAGCACGCATTTCCGCGTAGCATGCTGCCCCGACTACGTCTCGCGTTGCGCGGCCACTCTCCTCTCCTCCACGCACCTGCTTGGTTCACCCTCCTGCTAGGAGGAGGTGAATTCCCGGAGAAGTGTTAGAGCTCGCTAGTTCCACCTACTCGGTAGGAACACCCTCGTGAGCCAACTGGATGCGCGTGCGTGAAACTCCGGGCGGGGGGGGAGAGGGGGAGGGGGGGGAGGGAAGGAGGAAGGGATGAGGGGGAGGAGAGGGCGGGGGAGAGGGAGAGGGGTGTGGGGGGGGGTGCTATTCCGCCTGTCGTTTCCGACGGACCTTCGTCAGCTGACCTGGCTTGCAGCGAGCTAGCTCGCTTCCTCCTCTCGTCGCAACCTGACCTGCAGCGACGCACGTGCGCGCACCTGCCTGGCCCTTGCACCCAATCGTCTCGCACTGCTACTATAAATCCCGAGCTCGTTTTTGAGAGGCACTCATCGTCTGAAACCACACCTGCGATTGCAACTGCTCGACATTCGTCTCATCTACAACGTCCAAGTCGTATGTTGCTACTAGAGTAGTACTACTATTATTATCTTCGGAACAGCTTAAAGCCTGCAGTCCTTTCTACTGAAAGTTAAAGCTCTTAGAACCTCGGCAGTACCCACCCACTCTTAAAACCATCCGCGGGCACCTGACAGCTGAATCATGGCTTTGTCGAAGCTTCTGGTTCTCGCGCTTCTGCTGCTCGTCGTCGTCATTCTGGCGACCTTCGCCGTCGCTGACAGCGACGACGACGACGACCGTCCAGAGCGCCAGCGCAAGAGGGATGGCATGGGCAACCAGGACCGCGACCGCGACCGCAAAAGCGAACTCACCCGAAATTTCGCCAACTCAGCGAACTGTAGATTTCAAGGTTGGATTCGTCCAACCAAAATCGTGCGCCTCGAACTGAACAATTCCCCAACCCCAAATTTTACAGCTGCCTGTGGGTTGCAACACTACTCCAGAGCAGATTTCGAGAGCCAGCAAAGTGTGAAAAGCGCCAGCACAAGCTAGAGATTAACTACTGCAGCTACTACAAGCGCCAGCAAAGACTACAATCAACATCTACAAGATGACGAAGACGCCAGCACTACTTGGAAAATGAATACTACTTGTACAGTTAATTTCTATGCTTGTTTAGCTATTTCCTAGGAGTGACAACAAGGCAAGGCTACTTGTAAATAATCATTAGCTTGCTTGCTGGTCTCCAGCTAGGGTAGAAATGCCAAGGCGCCACGGGCGACCTTATCTAGGAGCCTTTAGAAATACCAAGGTGCCAAGAAAGCTTTCCTAGTATAAGTGCGCTCTCTTCTTTGTTTAAAGCTATCATATAATCTAGTGATTATGCTAGCACTCTTTCTTCAAAGATCCCTCAACCTCTACTCCTACTAACAGCCCCAGAGCTGTTATACTTGGTATCTGAGCCACGTTCCTGCATTGATTTTTTTTCTAGAACGTCATGACGTCCGAGCAACCCCCTTCTCCTGACGATTGGGTGGCTTTTCTAGAGAATTACCGCGCCCAAATCGTTTTTGAAGTTTGTGAGAGCTTCCGAGTGGAGCGCCTTTACCAGCACGTTACTCCGCGGCTCCGCATTTGCTTGGTGGCAAGCTGCACACACCTGCATCACCTTGTGGCAGCACTTCACGCAGGCGTTCACGGCTGCCTTCCAACCGGTGAATCCGAGCATCAAGGCGTGTGATCGACTTGCGGCTCTCAAGCAGCTGAAATCCGTTCAAGAGTACGTCGCCAACTTCCGCGACATTGCCCAGGAAATCCCCGACCTCTCCAACTCTGAACGCATGGACCGCTTCAAGCGTGGGTTGAAGCAGAACGTGCGTATGGAGGTTGAGCTGAGGGATTGCACGATGCTTGAGGAAATGATCAGAGTCGCTGAACGGTATGACTCAATTCGATTTGCTTACAAAGCAAGGTTGCCTTGTGCCCCGTTGCTCCCTTTTACTCCCTCCTATTAGCCCTCTGCTTCAACAGGCTTCGCTCAGCAAGAACCTGCTATGATGGACCTGGATGTGATGGAGAAGAAGCGGAATCAGAACCCCTCTGTCGTCTGCTTCAAGTGCGGCAAGAAAGGTCACATCTGACGATTCTGCCGCAGTCCTCCAAATCCAAAACCACTTCTTCCTACCCCTGGAAAAGGTGGTCACCAGTAAGTGCGGGGAGACTTTCTGGTGCAACCCCTAGCCCCATGATCGCTTCCCTTGAAAACCCTTCTCCCTCTTAACCCCTTTACCTCCCTATGACCATTCGAGGCCGAGTCGTTAAAGCCTTGATTGACAGTGGTGCCTCCTCTAATTTCATCTCTTCCTCACTTGTGTCTGAATAATCTCTCCCTCTCCAATCAAACATAAAGCCTCAGACAGTCTTACTTGCCGACAGGTCATCCCTCTCGTGTGGCCCCGTTCCTTACCCTGTCAACTGCACCATCGGATCTTACAAGGACAAGCTCTGCTTTCAGCAAGCTCCCTTGAAAGGTCACGATGTCATTCTTGGGAGAAACTGGCTTTCTGCCAAGAACCCGTCCATTGACTGGACCCATGACCATGTCACCATCAAGCATAACGGCACACACATCACCTTACCTCAATTCCCTTCTTCCCCTTCCTTACCTACTTGCAACCTTCTTTCTGCAAGACAGATAAAGAAATCCCTTAAAGACCCCACTACACAATTCTTCCTCTGCTATCTTCACCAATTTTCTCAAGCCTCATCTATCCCTCCATCTCCTCCTGTGTTTAATGACCCCCCTGAAATTCAGAAACTTCTTTCTGAATTTAAGGATGTCTTTCCCTCAGACCTCCCTCCAGGACTACCACCCAAACGAACCGTTGACCACAGAATCTGCCTACAGCCTGGATCTGAGCCTACTGTGTGTGCTACATATCGGATGAGCATGGCGGAGTTGCAAGAAGTCCAGAAGCAACTTGAGGAGCTCCTCGACAAAGGCTTCATCCGCGTAAGCTCATTGCCCTAAGCAGCACCAATCCTCTTTGTCAAGAAGAAGGATGGCAGCATGCGCATGTGCATCGACTACCGTGCGCTCAACAAAATCACCATCAAGAACCGCTATCCCCTTCCTCGCGTTGAGGAGCTTTTCGACCAGTTGGGTGAGGCCAAAATCTTTTCTAAGCTTGGTCTTCGCAGCGGCTATCACCAAGTACGTGTCGCTGATGAAGATATCGAGAAAAATGCTTTTCGAACTCGGTATGGGCACTTTGAATTCCTTGTCCTTCCCTTTGGACTAACAAATGCCCCTGCCACTTTCATGTGTATGATGAATGATATCTTCCGTGATTTCTTAGACAGATTTGTCATTGTCTTCATTGATGACATTTTGATCTATGGCAAATCATTGGATGAGCATGTTCATCATATAAGACAGGTGCTGACTCTTTCTTCAAAGATCCCTCAACCTCTACTCCTACTAACAGCCCCAGAGCTGTTATACTCCTGCGGCGGCAAGTCGGGCGGCTGCACCGGCAGCGGCGCCGGCGGCTGGCAGAAAGCTGGCGCCAGCAAGCAGGGCGGCGGCAGTGGCGGGGGAGGGCACGGAGGCAGAGCGGGAAAAACGGGGAGCGGAGCTGGCGCGGGCGCGGGTCGTGGCGGGCGCTTGGGTGGCAGCAGCAGCGCTGGAAAGGTGGCGAACCGGCGGCAGGGCAACAAGGGCAGCGGAAACTGCAACGGCTCCGGCTCTGGCTCCTGCAACGGTGGGGACGGGGGCTCGGGCAGAGTGAGTGCGGCGAGCGTGCAGGGAGCAAGCATTCAGAGCACGGGGTACGTGGTGGCGGACAACCGCGAGAGGGATCGCAAGAGGGACAGCTCCGGCGACCCTGACCGCGACCGCGACCGCAAGCGCGACGGCTCTGGCTCCCGCTCTGGCTCCTGCTCTGGTTCAGCTGGTTCCTCCTCCTGCACCCGATCTGGCGGCTGCACTGGCAGCGGCGGCGGTGCTGGGCGGCAGGGTTCCACGCAGCAGCAGGGCCGCGGAAGTGGCGCAGGTGCGGGCGCAGCTGGTGGACGTGCGGGCAGCATGAGCGGAGGAGGCGGGCGCCGGGGGGCAGCTGGACGGCAGGGAAAGGCTGGGTGCACGGGCGCAGGTGCAGGGAATGGGGCTGGCGGGGGGCTGAGGGGGAGTGGTGCAGGAAGCGGGAACTGTGATGGAAGTGGGTCTGGTAACTGCAATGGGAGTGGTGCGGGGAGGAAGGGAGGGAGGAGGGGAGGACGAGGGAACAACGACAACGATGGTGATGATTAGACTTGACTTGAGGTGGAAGGGTCAGTGTGATTCGAGGTGTCTTGCTGGAAGCTGAATGGCCGCATGGAGCTGCGAAAACACTGGGAACAGAAGCATGGATGGTAGAGAGGAAGGGAGGGCGAAGAGGCAACAACAATGATGGCGATGACTAGTCTCGAGGTGTACGGGTGGCTGTGATGGAACCTCAGGCCTCCCTGTGAGGAACTGTTCTTGTAAATTCTTAAGAAGCTCTCATTAGAGTGGATCATGGTGGCCATGTGGCCTGAGGCCTCTCTGTGAGGGAGTGGGTGGAGAAGAATCTCGGGTTTTGGAGAAATATGGCAGGCTAAATCATGTTCAAATGACGTTTCCACCAGTGGTGGTTTGGGGCGTTTCTGGGGGGAGGGGGGAGATGCAGTAGCAACCAATCTTTTGTTTCAACATCTTGGTTCCCTTAATGAGTCTGATTTGGTAAGGAGGTAGTTGGTGCTGGAACATCCTGCACGTGGTTCTTTACAGCTAGGTTTGACTCGGAGTCGGTATAATGCGATTCAGTACGGTGGAGTGGGACACAAGTATGATAGAAGAATGTTTTACAGGGGACTTTAGGAACACGCCCTGACTGCAACATGTCAACGGCACCTAGGGAAAAAGCCCTATCGCTTGGTGGGTGGTGGGAGAAGGAATCTCGGCGATGGGGGCGAATTTGGTTTTTGGTGGTGGGGGCTTGGCCCCTGGGAGGCGGGCCTAGTGGGGTAGGAGGGGGTTGAGAGGGGTTGGGTGGGAAGGATTTCTCCTCAACCTTTTATCGCCACCTAGGAATGAAGACCCATCGTCTCCTGGGGGTGGGAGGGTATCTGCGCCTGGGCAGTGGGGGTGAGGGGCGTTTCGGTGGTGGGGGGCTTGGCTTCTTGAAAGGTGGGGTGGGAGGGGGTTTAGAGGGGTTGGATGGGAAACAATTCTTCCCAGCCTTTTATCGCCACCTAGGGAAGAAGCCCCATCGCCTCCTGGGTGGCGGAGGGTATCTGCGCCTGGGCGGCGGGGGAGAGGGGGGTTTGGGTGGCGGGGGGCTGGGCTTCTTGGGAGGAGGGCTGGGAGGGGGTCTCAGAGGGCTGGGGGGAGGCTTCTTGGGCGGTGGGCTGGAGATGGGTTTGGGAGGAGGGGAGGGAGGAGGTTTAGGGGGAGGGAAAGGAGGGGGTTTGGGAGAGGGAGAGGGAGGTGGTTTGAGTGGGGGAGGGCTAGTGAGCGGTTTTGGTGGGGGGCTTAGGGGAGATTTAGGGGGAGGTTTAGGGGGAGGGGAGGGAGGGGGTTTACTAGCAGTTGAAGTCTTGGGAGGGGGAGAAGGAGGGCGGGGGGGAGGCCGTGGGGGAGGGGAAGGCGGAGGGGGAGGCTTGGGGGATTTGGGGGCGGGCGAGGGGGAGGAGATGGGGGTCTGGGGGGACTTGGGGGAGGACGAGGGGGAGGAGAGGGGCTGGGAGGGGGACGTGGGGGGCGTGGAGGGGGACGGGGGGGTGGGCGAGGGGGAGGGGAAGGGGGAGGGTTGGGGGGGGAGGGAGGGGGAGGCATGACGGCCTGGTAGCAGGGGGGGAGGTGGGGGAAGGAGAGGGTCTGGTCGAAATAGGAGTAAAAGAGAGTGAAGGAGGGGGAAGAGGAGAGGTCGAGAATGTGCGTGGTGTCAGCTGAGAGGGAGGGAAGGGGGGAAGAAGCAGGAGTCGGGGCAGGGGCAGTGATGGCAGTGCTGGCAGTGCTGGCAATGCTGGCAGTGGTGGCAGTGCCAGTATTGGTGGTGGAAGGGGAGGGTGAGGAGGGAAAGGAGGTCCAGGCGTTGAAAGGAACGGGCAGCTGAGAGCTGTCGGATCGAAGAGCACCGGTGAGATTCCAGCAGTGGGAAGGCAGCAGCGATGCGAAGGCAGCGTAGCTCCACCCCCCTGTGGCTGATGGTGCTGCTGCATTGAGAGACGACCTGCAAGAATGAGAGGCACGTGGGAAGCGCGCAACAGGCAGCAACAACAGCAGCGGAGAGACACTGAGACTCCAGCAGTGGGACGGCAGCAGCGATGCAAAGGCAACGGAGGTACAACAGGGAGTTGAAAATAAGCCCACATTCGTTCCTTCACCCCTTTTCACTCACCAGTCCACAGCCACTGTGAGCTTGGCCCGGGTTTCACTGGTGAAGAGCGGCCGGCCGAGAGTGAGAGCGCTGCGAGGAACAGCAGTTACCGGCAGCACGCGGTTACCAGCACTGCTGTAGATAGCGTCCGGCAGGCTCTGCTCGTCCCCGTCGTCGTCCACCAGGAAATCCGGCAAGCCATCGTCACCCGCGCCCGGCGCTGGGGCACCTGGAACAGTGGGGTGGGAGGAGGACGATAGACCATTGCACCCGTGATATAAGGTTGGTTTTGAGACGTCTCAAAACCCAACCTTATATTCTGGGGCGCCTGGAACAGTGGGGCACCTGGAACAGTGGGGTGGGAGGAGAAAGATAGACCATTGCACCTCCCTCTCTTTTTTTCCTCTATTAGGGAAGCACGCCCTGCTCGTCCCGGTCATCATCCACCAGGAAATCCGGCAAGCCGTCATCACCAGCGCCTGGCAGTGGGGTGCCTGCAGGGTTGGGAGGGAAGGGATACAGAAGGAGCGGGAGAGTTGGGAGAAAACCCTTGCTAATCCCCCTCGTCATCATCCACCAGGAAATACTGCAAGCCGTTGTCCCTTGTGCCCCGTGCTGGTGTGCCTGTGGGGTTGGGATAGGATACAGAAGGATTGTGAGAGTTGTTACCAACTCTGCTTGTGAAACAACCTCTGCTTTTCTCCGTCGCTATCCACCAGATAAGAAAGACTGGTAAGCTTACCGGAAGGAACGCCGGAGGTGGCGGGGAGCCGGAGGGAATGTTGTGGCAGTGGGGAGAAAGAATGCTAGCATGGGGTGATGGTGTGGTGAGGCATTGAATTCTCCCTCAGAAATTGTGAGGCATTGAATCCCCAGTAGAAACTGCTTCTCAAGAATTAGGCCCATTGAGTGCAGGCTCAATTGGTTATTGTTGGTAAGTGTGTGGCGAGGGACTGGCTAGGTTAAGTCTGGGGAAGGCATACCTGAGGAAGGGTCGAGCAGGTAGACGACGTGCACGAGGTTGTGAACGTCGACAGACTTGAGAATGGGGGAGAGGCCGGGTAGGAGAGAGGAGGAGGGGGAGGGGGAGGAGGAGGAGGAGGAGGAGGAGGAGGAGGAGGAGGAGGAGGAGGAGGAGGAGGAGGAGGAGGAGGAGGAGGAGGAGGAGGAGGAGGAGGAGGAGGAGGAGGAGGAGGAGGAGGAGGAGGAGGAGTTGGTGGTGACAGTATCGAATGTGCCAGTGAGGCTGGCCTCTATGGTCCATCGCACCATGGCTGTGCCTGAAGGGGGGATGCTGCCGATCTGGGGGCGGGAAGGGAGAGAGGAGAGAGAAGGCGGGGTTGGGGGCAAGGATAGTGAGTGAGAGGTGTGCGGCCTAGTAGTGAGGGGAATTGCCCCCCTAGGCCCATCGCACCATCGCTGGAGCCCAAGGGGGGATGCTGCCGATCTGGGTGGGGGGGGATGGGGGGGGAGGGGAGGTGTGGAAAGGTGGAAAGAGGCAGAAAGAGGTGAAAACGATTATTGGAAGATGGGGGCAGTATAGGCATTAGGGGGACGAAGAATTTGAGAATAAATAAATATATATATATAAACAGCAATTTTTGTTAGTTATAAAAGAACTGAATTCTCATAAACCAAACTCAGAAGTATACAGCAAGGAAGAGGCATGGATGAGGGTGGTTCGAACAAAAGGAATGTGCAGTATGCATGTGTCCACATGTGGATACCCACATGTGCATACCCACATGTGTGCTGCATTGCATACCTGAACAGCGGAGGATGGCTGCAGCTCCTCCCCGACAACCGTCTGTGTGACTGTGACTGGCTTCATTGTGGCGCTATCAACCGGCAGCAGCGACTGAGTGGCGTGGCGACAGCAGCAGCTCTACCCTGGCCTGGATTACACACCAACGTGCCTGAACGGCGAAGGATGGACTTGCGTTGAGGTGCTCAAGAATGTGCATACCCACATCACATGTGTGTGCATACCTGAACGGAGAAGGATGGAGGCTGGGGCTCCTCCCCGACAGCCGTCTGTGTGATAGTGACAGGCACTGATGTGGCGTTAACAACAGGCAGCAGTGACTGGGTGGCGACAGCAGCAGCTGTACCATGTCCTGCGTTATACACCAGTGCTCCAAGGGTAATGGGCACTGGGGCCTCCACCTTGTGGAGGCAGAGGGAAATGGGGGAAGGCAGGGGGAAATGGAGGAAGGCAGGGGGGAAGTGAATAGGCGGGCAGCCGTGACTGAGTGGCGACAGCAGCAGCTGTACCCTGGCCTGCGTTATACACCAGTGCTCCAGGGATCCCGGGCACTGGGGGCTCAACCTGAAACAGCAGAGAGGAGGGGAAAGCAGGGAGAAAGGGGAAGCAGGGAGAAAAGTGAAAGGCAGGCAAAGAAATGGGAGCACAGAACAAAGTGGGAAGTGGGAAATGGGAAATGGGAAATGGGAAATGGGAAATGGGAAAAGGGAAATGGGAAATGGGAAATGGGAAATGGGAAATGGGAAATGGGAAGTGGGAAGTGGGAAGTGGGAAATGGGAAATGGGAAGTGGGAAGTGGGAAGTGGGAAATGGGAAATGGGAAATGGGAAATGGGAAATGGGAAATGGGAATTGGGAAATGGGAAATGGGAAATGGGACTTCAGAATAAAGTGGGACACTGGGGACGTGATCTTGAGAGACAGGGATCGAGAAGTCAAGGGAGACAAGGGAGGAAGGGGAGCACATAGGAAGGATTTTTCATAGAGATAGGGACCAAAGATAATTCCATCAGTGGAAAAAAGCAGGAAAAGCAGGAGGAGTATCCAGGTCGTCCCCTTGCATGTGCTTGGGCAAAAAGCAGTGCACTTGCAGTTGAGGGTGGAGTGTCTGACTGGCGCATGTTGCTGCATTGCATGCTCTCGTGTCACTGTGAGGTGAGGCTCACCTGTGGGGTATCCAGGTCGCCCCCTTGCACGTGCTTGGGCGCCAAGCAGTGCTGATGCCTTACTTGTTGCCTTTTCAACACTCCCTAGCACGCTCACCAGTGGCACGCTCACCAGTGGCACGCTCACCAGTGGCATGCTCACCTGTGGCATGCTAACCTTTCAAGTCTAGCAGGCTCACCTGTGGGGTATCCAGGTCGTCCCCTTGCACGTGCTTGGGCACGAAGTAGTGCACTTGCAGCTTGGGCGGCGGAGCCACTGTTACACGCACGCTCGTTAGATTCACTTGCTTCACCACTGGTGGTGCTGCTGCTGCTGGTGCTGTTGCTGCTGCTGCTGTTGCTGAGGGTGCTGGTGATGGTGCTGACGTGGCACCTGCAGTAGATAATGCTGGTGCTGGTGCTGATGGTGCTGATGGTGACGGTACTGATGATGCTGACGTGTCTGGTAGCGTGTACTGCAGACTGCCGCCCAGTTTGAAGTTGGTGGGGGCAGCAGGGGCGGCGCAGTCAAGCACGAGGAGCAGCCAATCGACTGAGGCAGACGAGTTTGGGGCAAGGGTTCCTGCAGCGAGGAGAGGGGACGGGAGGAGGGGGGGATACAAGGTAATTTGAGCCAGTGGAAGTGTCTCGGTTATGCGTAGGTGGGAGGGGCGGCGCAGTCGAGTGAGAGGAGCAGCCAATTGACCCAGACAGACGAGCTCGGGGCAAGGGTTACTGCAGTGAGGAGAGGGGGGAGGAAAGGGGACCACAAGGCAATTTGAGCCAGTGGAAGTGTCTGATGTAGGATCTGATTGATGTATGCATACTAATAGGATCTGATTGATGTATGCATACTAATAGGACCTGATTGATGTATGCATACTAAAAGGATCTGATTGATGTATGCATACTAAAAGGATCTGATTGATGCATGCATATTTATAGGATCTGATTGATGTATGCATACTACTAGAATCTGATTGATGTATGCATACTAATAGGATCTGCTTGATGTATGCATACTAATAGGATCTGATTGATGTATGCATACTAAAAGGATCTGATTGATGTATGCATACTAAAAGGATCTGATTGATGTATGCATACGAATAGGATCTGATTGATGTATGAATACTAATAGGATCTGATTGATGTATGCATACTAATAGGATCTGCTTGATGTATGCATACTAATAGAATCTGATTGATGTATGCATACTAATAGGATCTGATTGATGTATGCATACTAATAGGATCTGATTGATGTATGCATACTAATAGGATCTGATTGATGTATGCATGCTATTAGGATCTGCATCAATAGGATACTGTTGGCATCACCTGCCTCAGTCTCACCTGCACCAGTCACCTCCCCTCACCTGCGCCGTTCACATACGCAATGCCGTCCAGCACAGGGTCGCTGAACACAAAGCAGTGCGAGGCGTCCGTGCCGTTGGGGTATGTGATGCGCGTCGTCACTGCCACGTCAGCCATGGGCCACTGCTCTGTGTTCGATATGTACACGTGTGCACGCACCTACAGGGGGGGCGGGGGTTGGGAGGGGGTTTTTTTATGGGGGGGAGGGTTGGGAGGGTGGAGAGGGGAAAGGTTTAGGAAGATGAAACAGCAGAGAGTGCAGCCAGCTAGGCTGCACCCTAAACCCTAAAATGCAAACCCTAAAACATCATCTGCTTAAACCTTGAGTGTCATCATCTCGTCTCTTATAACAGGCATGGGTGCCCTTGGGAGGGGTATGATAGGAGACAATCCGATACAGCACGAACAACGCAGTACGATGGGGCGAATCCGTTTGCAATCTACTTCTGAGGCGCCACAGGGCTGGGCTTCTAAGATCAGAAACAAGCTGGGCTTACCACAGGGCGAGAGGCGGTGATTTACTGCCGAGCCACAAGCGGCCTCTGAGCCCCTGAAAGCGTACTGGCTTCTGGAGAAAAGCGGAGGTCCACAGTAGGTGGTGTTGACTCAGGTGGTCTTTGATTCAGGATTCAGAAACGAGCTGGACTCACCGTAGGGCGAGAGGCGGTGGTTTGCTGCCGAGCCACAAGCGGCCTCTGAGCCCCTGGAAGCATACTGGCTTCTGGAGAAAAGCGGAGCTCCATGGTAGGTGGCGTTGAGTCAGGGGTGAGAGACGCCAGAGAGGCGGATGTGGTGGTAGCGGTGGTGGGGGCGGTGGTTGGACTGGTGGTGGTGGTGATGGTGGTGGTTGTGCTGCTGGTGGCCGTGCTGGTGGTGGTATTGGTGGTGGGAGAGGGGGCTATGCTTGAGACAGAGTATGCAGCTAGCTCTGTCTGGTTTGCCGGGTCGAATCGGGCTGTCAGCTCCGCAGTCACACTGGAAGTCTCAAAGAAGGTTCCTGGGGAATGGGTGGTTGAGGAAGAGATCGGGTATCTGAGCTGAGATGTCTAGAGAGGGGCGCGATTGGTGCTTTTGAGGATTCTCAGAAAAACCTTGCAGAAGGTTCCTGGGGAATGGGTGGTCATGGAAGTAAACTTGAGCTATCTTGTGGCATAGCACTCAGGAGGCACACACACACAAGCATTTCTTAACCCCCACTAGACGCCCCCTTACCCCCCACTAGACTCCCTCCTACCTCCAAGGAACGCCTAGTCACCTTCAATATGCCGCTCGTTCACACCCTACCGCCAGCACACCACACCACCACATGCATCACGCTTGGAGCCACGCCATGCTGTGGATGTGGCGACCAGTCCACGCTTGTAGCAACGGATGTGGGGAGGTGGGGGGGGGGTTGGGGATAGCCTACCAGTCCATGCTTCCTCCATGAATGACAATATCACACCACTCACTCACTCACTCACTCTCTCACTCACACACACACACACACTTTCCCCCCACCAACGAACACCATATTACCTCCAACAAACGCCAGGTCATGCACAAGGTGATTTTTTAGTCGACTCGAAAATCACCAGGTCATGCACAACAATGTGCCGCACGATGTGTCACCACACCGCCACGTGCTCCATGGTCGAGTGTGGCATGCATGCACATTGACACACAACGCTTTCTACCCCCCACTAGACGCCCTCTCACCTCCAACGAGCGCCAGGTCGTGTACAATATGCCGCTCGTTCGCTCCCCACTGCCACCACCACGTGCCAGCTGTGAACCCCACCGACGCTGACGTGGCGCCGAGGATCGCCGGGATATCCACAAATGCAGTGAGCACCGGTACAGCTGGCTTGACCGGGGAAGTGGAGGGAGTGGAAGGAGCTCCAGCCAGAAACACCTTGAGCGTCTGGGAGGCTCCTTCGTAGGTCACCCACGCATGCTGCTGGGTGTTGAGAGGAAAGGCCTGGATGGAGGGGGAAGAAGGGGAGGAAGGGGAGGAAGGGGAGGAAGGGGAGGAAGGGGAGGAAGGGGAGGAAGGGGAGGAAGGGGAGGAAGGGAGGAAGGGAGGAAGGGGAGGAAGGGGAGGAAGGGGAGGAAGGGGAGGAAGGGGAGGAAGGGGAGGAAGGGGAGGAAGGGGAGGAAGGGGAGGAAGGGGAGGAAGGGGAGGAAGGGGAGGAAAGGGGAGGAAGGGGAGGAAGGGGAGGAAGGGGAGGAAGGGGAGGAAGGGGAGGAAGGGAGAGGAGAGAAAGGGGGATGTCCGCGAGGGCAGTGAGCACGGCTGGCTTGACCGGCGAAGTGGAGGGAGCGGAGGGAGCTTCAGCTCGGAATACGCTGAGGGTTTGGGAAGGGCTGTCATAGGTCACCCACGCACGCTGCTGGGTGCTGAGAGGCATGGCCTAGAAGGAGGGGGGAGGAGGGGGAAGGAGGGGGAAGGAGGGGGAAGGAGGGGGTGGAAGGGGAGGATGGGAGAGGAGTGAAGAGGGTATATCCACGAGGGCAGTGAGCACCGGTTCAGCTGGCTTGACCAGGGAAGTGGAGGGAGCGGAGGGAGCTTCAGCTACAAATACGCTGAGTGCCTGAGCAGCTCCTTCGTAGCTCACCCATACATGCTGCTGGGTGTTGAAAGGAAAGGCCTGGGGGGAGTTGGGGGTGTAGGGGGGGTGGGGGGAGCGGAGGGGGAGAGGTTACTTCACACAGGTCACACAGGTCACCCAGGTCACCCAGGTCACACAGGTCACACAGGTCACACAGGTCACACAGGTCACCCAGGTCACCCAGGTCACACAGGTCACACAGGTCACACAGGTCACCCAGGTCACCCAGGTCACACAGGTCACACAGGTCACACAGGTCACCCAGGTCACCCAGGTCACCCCGGCATGCATGCATCCGCACACTGGTGGTACGCATGGTAGAGAGCGAAAGCGAAACGCACCTCGGCGTCTGAAAGCATCACTGCATTTCTGCACAACCATCTCCTGCAACGACTCCCATAGCAGAGATGGCTTTACAGACCAAGCAAGGGGAAAACTATGGACCACACCTGGTGTCATGAGTCGATTCTTGAGTCGACTCAAAACCCGTGTGTAATGAGTCGACTCAGAACCCGTGTGTAATGAGTCGACTCAAAACCCGTGTGTGATGAGTCGACTCAAAAATCGACTCATTACACAAGTAAGGGGAAAACTACGGATCACACCCGCCAGACTATGGTATACAGGGTATAGGGCTTTGGGGCTATGGTGCAATGAGACTCGCCAGAGACGGCTATGGACTCACAGAGACGGCTTTGCAGACCAAGCAAGGGGAAAACTACGGAGCACACCTGGAAACAACGCACCTCGGCGTCTGAAAGCGTCGCTGCATACTCTGCACCAACACAACCATCTCCTGCCACGACTCCCTTAGCAGAGACGGCAATACAGGGAACGGGACACAGGCGAAATTCCACTGCCACACTGTTGAGGAAAGCTCCCCCCGCCGAGCCATAGCCCAGGGAGCTGCAGGGAGAAAAGGAAGGAAGATCAAAGAGGGGGATAGGAGATTGAGACGGCAATACAGGGTATAGGGCGTCGGGGCACAGGCGGAACTCCACTGCCACACTGTTGTTGAAGGTACCATTGGTCAAGCCATAGCCGAGGGAGCTGCAGAGGAACGGTGGAAGGCAGGAGAAGAGGAGAACTGGAGGAGTCTATTTTTGAGGCGCCTCAAAAATGGAGGTTGAGACGGCTATAAGAGGGGTACGGGGCACAGGCAATTGCACTCCTCCAGACATCTCCACTGCCCCACTGTTGAGGAAAGAGCCGTTGTCCCACCCAGCCGTAGCCGAGGGAGCTGCAGACGGAAGATGGAGGACAGGATAAGAGGGGACTTGGAGGAGGCTGAGACAGCTAGAAGAGGGGTACGGGGCACGGGCGAAACTCCAGTGCCACACTGTTGGTGAAAGTGCCGTTGGCCAAGCCATAGCCGAGGGAGCTAGCTGCAGCTCAGGAAAGATGGAGGAAGGATGAAGACAGGACTTGGAGGAGGCTGTAGGGTATTTTTGAGAATTCTAACAAAATTGCAGGGTATTTTTTAGAATTCTCAAAAATACCCTGCAGATGGAGGAATGGATGAAGACAGGACTTGGAGGAGGTTGAGATGGCCATAATGGTTACGGGGCACAGGCAAACCTTCACTGCCACACTGTTGGCGAAAGTACCATTGGCCGGGCCGTAGCCAGGAGAGCTGCAGGGAAGGGAAGGGTGAAGGAGCAGGGAGAAAAGGCTGCTGAGACAAATTTTGAAGCGCCTCAGAAACAGACTCCTCAGAGAGAGCTGCAGTGAAGAGAAGGGTGAAGGAGCAGGGAGAGAAAGAGGAGGCTGAGACAGCAACACAGAGGGCAGGGAACAGGTGACACTCGACTGCAGCACTGTTGACAAACGTGCCATTGACCAGGCTGTAGCCAAGGGATCTGCAAAAAGACGACTGCAACGTAGGAGGCAGAGAAGAGAGAAGGGTGAAGGAGCAGGGAGGAAGAGAGGAGGCTGAGACATCAACACTGAGGAGTCCACTGGCCAGGCCGTAGCCAAGGGATCTGCACAATGGTGACTGCAACAAAGGAAGCAGGCTGAAGGGTGAAGGAGCAGGGAGAGAAAGAGGAGGCTGAGACAGCAACACAGAGAGGACAGGGCACCTGTTATCGTGCTCCGATTCTTGTAAGGGACTTTTGAGTCGACTCAAAAGACAGGGCACCTGTTATCGCGCTTCGATTTTTGTAGGCGCCTCAAAAATAGCAGCACTGCACTCTGCTCCGCGGTGCATCACGCCTTTGAGTCGACTCAAAACGAGGTGACTTCTGGGTCGACTCAAAACGAGGTGACTTGTGAGTCGACTCAGAAGTCGCCGAATAGCTGCCCTGCACTCTGCTCCGCGGTGCATCATCCCTTACAGGATTAGGGAATGGAATGATGCACACACAAGGGCTCCTCTCACCCCTTCCTTGCTTTTCTCATGGGCCAGTACGCTGCAATCCAGTGGGTTGGTTGGATATAGGTAGGTCTGCAGTAGTGAGGCGCCTCAGAAGAGGGTTCACTTTTTCCTCACCTTGCGTTTGCATGCCCGAGGGCTGTTGTTGGGCCATTGGTGAGCACAAAGGTGAAGCCTCGACCCACGCTCTGAAAAAGCAAAAACAAAACAAGGCAAATCGGGGAGAGATTATACGATTGCAGGTAAAGAATGGGGGGTCAGTCGAATGACAAATGAGAGCGAATGTATGTGTCTTTTTACAATTTTAAAAAAGCTCTCACCAGGAGAGAGTAAGGAAGAAGACCCGGGGTGAGCTGTGCGGACCATTTTCTCAAGGCACGGCAGTCAAAGTTTTTTTACTGAATTAGAAGCCTATGTTTTAGGCGCCTCAAAAATACTTTCTTATTTGCTAAACCTGCTCCCGTCAACTGCTGCTCAATGGAATTATGACCCTGACTGGGCCGTGAGGACCATGCCATTTTCTCAAGGCATGGCTGTTGCAGTTGAGCTGGTTCTTGAGAATTCTGAAAAACCAACTCATGGAATTCCAAGTTACTGACTCGACGAGAAGCCTTGACTCACCACGTTGGAGCCCATCCGTCAGCCAGGAAGGTGAAGGCAAGGGGTGTAGGGAGAGAATTCGAAGGCGGTGACTTTTGAGTCGACTCAAAAGCCATCGGTCAGCCAGGAAGGTGAAGGCAAAGGGGTGGAGGGATAGAATTCAAAGACGTGGAGCAGCGACAGGGGGTGAGGAGAAGGCAGAGGGGTGAGAGAGAGAGTTGAGAAGGGGAGAGGACGAGAGAGGGATGGAATCAAAATGGTTATTTTTGAGAATTATCAAAAATACCCTGCAATCTCCATGTTAGTCGCACACTCGAGAAGGCGGCCAGAGGGGGCGAGGAGGGAGAGGAGCGAGAGGGAGTGGAGAGGGGCGAGAGGGAGAGGGGGGGAGTGGAGAGGACGAGAAATTAAAGGAAGTTGAATGGAAAAAGGTCACCTGCTCACAACGTTAGCTGCACTGCACATAATATAGTTTTGAGACGTCTCAAACCCACATTATGATCAAGTGGGTCAACCACTCACCATGTTAGCCGCGGACTCATCATGTGGCAGATCCAGTTTTGAGACGTCTCAGAACTATCTTATTATCAAGTGGGTCAACCACTCGTAACGTAACTCACCACGTTAGCTGCACTGCACACTCGTCGTGTGATAACAATTGAGACGTCTCAAAACTGCATTATCATCAAGTGGGTCAGCCACACACCATGTTAACCGCGCACTCATCGTGTGATAACAATCTAGTTTTGAGTCGTGTCAAAACCGCATTATCATCTAGTGGATCACCTACTCACCACGTAAGCTGCGCACTCGTCAGCTAGGAAGGCAAAGGAGAAGGCGGCTAGAGGGAGTGAGGACGGAGAGAGGAAAGAGGGAGAGTGGGGAAGGGGAGGGGACGAGAAAGGAAAGGAGAGTCAGATAGAAGTAGGTCAACCACTCACCACGTTGGCCGCACACTCATCGGCCAGGAAGGTGAAGGAGAAGGCGGCCTCAAAGGCGGTGGAGAGGCCAGAGGGGGTGAGGAGGGGGAGGGGCGAGAGGGAGAGGGCGGAGCCAACGGTGTTGTAGGAGTCCAGCCAGAGAGGGAAGAGCGGCGCCGGGCCCAGCTGCGCGTAGCCGTTGAGGTCGAAGGGGGCCGACCCGGCAAAGCCAGCACAGTGCAGGGAGGATTTTGTTGCCCTGCAGGTGGCTGTTGGGGTGGGCTGTGCTGCTGGGAGGAAGCCTGGTGTGACTGGGATTGGGTGGGGGGTAGGGGAAGGGAGTGGGTAAATTCGGCAAAATGCAGGGAGGATTTTGTTGCACTGCATGTTGCTGTTTGGGGGGGTTGTGGTGCTGGCAGGAAGCCTGGGTAGACTGGTGTTGACGGGGGGGAGGCAGAGAGGGGATTCGCTGAGAGGACAAGAACGAGGGGGAGAGGGGTGGGGGTGAGGAGAGATTTCACAGGGGGAGAGGGGAGGGGGTGAGGAGAGATTTAACAGGGGGAGAGGGACGATACAGAGTGGTGCAATTGCGAGAGGATTACATAGGTTAGGGGGTTGACTCTGCTACAGGGTTGACTTATAAAAGCTCGACATTACAATAGCAGCTATACTACAACCATGGCAAAGCACACCCTAGTATCAGCACCTATTCACAAACTCACCAGCATCGAAGGCGAGGGAGTGGATTAGGCGGTGGTCGTCTGTCTGTATCGCCACATCCCATCACATCAGCTCACCATTGTCACACTGTTGATTCACCATGGACTAGCATTAGCTCACCTGTAGTGCAGGAGAGGGAGTGCGGTGGTGCTTGTCCAAATCGTCGCTCCACATCCCCAGGCGACTCTTGAGTCTCTCACAACTTACCAGTGTTGAATGAGAACGTATGGATAAGGTGATGATCATCGGTGTCGCCACATCCCCACCACCACGTGCCAGCTGTGAAGCCAACAGATGCTGACGAGGCGCCAATCACAGCCACAAGATCGAGAGCCGCCCTCAAGACGGGTTCCTCGGGCTTCACCCCGTCGCTGCCGCCCAGGTAGACCTCCAAGGACTGGGACGAGCTGTCGTACGCCACCCACGCGTGCTGCGGCTCGTTCAGGGCGAACGCCTGAAAGGCAGGAGAGAAGACACAGGATGTGGGGGTGACGGAACGGCTGGGCTGCCTTCACCGCGCTAAACCGCATTCAACAGTGGCACCGCACTGAACCGCACCACCTGGAAGGCTGGGACGAGCTGCCATACGCCAGGCCGCCACAATGCATCACAGCGCAGCATGCTCCAACATGTCAGTGCCGCCTCTCACCGGCTGAACCGCCTCTCACCGGCTGAACCGCCTCTCACCGGCTGAACCGCCTCTCACCGGCTGAACCGCCTCTCACCGGCTGAACCGCCTCTCACCGGCTGAACCGCCTCTCACCGGCTGAACCGCCTCTCACCGGCTGAACCGCCCCGAATCGCACCTTATCCCCAGCGAGCCCGGTCACCTGGCGGGCAGCAGCGCAGATGTCGCCTGACACCATGCTGTTGACCCCCTGAGCCACACACGAGGTGACGGGGCTGCCTTACACTGCGATAATCCGCATTCAACAGTGGCATTGCATTGAACCGTACCTTACCCCCTGTAAGCCCAGCCATCCGGTGGGAAGCAGTGCAGCTGCAACCTTACCGGGTATCAGCCACTGAAGTTGCAGTTGCAGTCGGTTCGAACGTGTCTGAATCCGTGCCGTTAACCAGTGAAGCCGCACACCACGGCAGGCCCTGCATTCACCGCACTGTACCGCAATGAACTGCACTCAACTATATTGAACCTTAGATCACCACACTGAGCCGCACCTTTTCCCCTGTAAGCCCGGTCATCTGGTCGGCAGCAGCGCAGTTGTCGCCTGAAGCCATGCCGTTGACCACCAGAGCCACACATGAGGTGGGCCCTGACCGCAGCTCCACTGCCACGCTCCTGTTGAACGCTCCTGGGGCTGCTCCCCCGTACCCTATGGCCCTGCCAGAGGAAGGGAGTTGGGGGAGGGAACGGAACGGGGGATATCGGGATCGATGTAGACTAGAGCAACACCCCTCAATTTTACAAAAGCATTTTATAAAGTCGCTGCCACGTTAAGTCATGACACCGGTGCTCCCTTGGACAATCCATGTCATTGCGACTCACCCCATGTCATTGCGACTCACCCCATGTCATTGCGACTCACCCCATGTCGCTCGACCCGCACGCAGTCTTGTCCCCGCTGGTGATGACGAACGCCAGGCCCCTGCTGCCCCTGTAGCCATACGACGTCTCCGTCAACACCGAGAACGAAAACGCCGCCTCAAACGCCACCACAGCTGCCGCTGCTGCTGTTGTTGCTGCTGCTGCTGCTCCTCCTGCTGACGTGGACGCATCCAGCGAGAGCGCCAGGTCAGCAAGAGTGAGCGCGCTGCCAGCGGTGCCGCCCGTGTCGAGGACGAGAGGGAAGTCGGGTGCGGGCCCCACATGCGCGTAGCCGTTGAGGAAGAAGGGTGAGCGGCCGGCAAAGCCGGTGCAAGCCAGGCGCGTGTTGGAGGAGGTGAGCCGGCACTTGCTGGGGGGAGCGGAGGGTGGCAGAGACTGCTGGGAGCCGGGGGGGACTGGGGGAGGGGGAGGGGAAGCAGGGGAGGGGGAGCAGGGAGGAAGGAGAGAAGGGGAAGAAAGTATGGAAAGGGGGAGCATAGTAAGTAGCAGAGGGATTGGGACGAGAGGGCAGTTGGGGTGTGTAATGAGTCGATTTTTTAGTCGACTCAAAAATCGACTCATTACACAAGAAAGTATGGAAAGAGGGAGCATAGTAAGTAGCAGAGGGAATGGGACGAGAGGGAAGTTGGGCGCCGGCCCCACATGGGCGCAGCCGTTGAGGAGGAAGGGTGAGCGGCCGGCAAAGCCGGTGCAAGCCAGGCGCGTGTTGGAGGAGGTGAGCTGGCACTTGCTGGGGGGAGCGGAGGGCGGCAGGGACTGCTGGGAGAAGAAGGGGACTGGGGGAGGGGGGAGGGGGAAGGAAGGAGGCACAGTTATTTCTATGTTCGTTGTTTGAATCAAGAGTTAGTACCAATTCTACGGACGCGTGGACAATGGACTAATGGACAATGACAATGGTACCAATTGTTGTTGTCAGTATCAATTGTTAGTACAATGGATGTATGGACCTAATTATTCACATTGGACCTATGGACCTCATTATTAACAATAGACCTATGGCTAGATTATTCACACCTGCAATTAATATCAACCTTTTTGGTGCAGTACCAACCTTTTGGTAGATCCAAAGCAATGGGTAGATGAAGCTTGGATAAAGACAGAGTGCACGATACAGTCGTCTAGGCCATGCGCTTACGATAATGCTTACCGGCTTCGAAGGAGAGCGAGTGAATGATGTGGTCCTCCAGGTCGTCCACCCACGTCCACCACGACCCCCCCGTGAATCCCACCGAGATGCCCGAGGTGGCCCCCAGAACAGCCCGCACGTCCACAGGCGCGACTAGTGTGGCGGACTGCGGCTTGGAGGGCGACCCCCCTGGCGACACAAACACCTGCAGGGCGCGCGTGCTGCCGTCGTAGCTCACCCACACGTGCTGGGGCTCGTTCAGAGTGAAGGCCTGGGGGGAGAGGGAAAGAGAGGACGAGAGAGGGAGAGCGAGAGCCTGAGGCCATTAGAGGAGATCACAAGGGGCGAGTGGGTGATCACAAGGGGCGAGTGGGTGATCACAAGGGGCGAGTGGGTGATCACAAGGGGCGAGTGGGTGATCACAAGGGGCGAGTGGGTGATCACAAGGGGCGAGTGGGTGATCACAAGGGGCGAGTGGGTGATCACAAGGGGCGAGTGGGTGATCACAAGGGGCGAGTGGGTGATCACAAGGGGCGAGTGGGAGATCACTAGGGGGATTGAGAGAGTGAGAGCCTGAGGTAGCATCCCCCCAGGAGGGCCGGCATCTCCAGGGGCACAACGAGGGCGGCGGTCTGGGGCTTGAAGCGCGACCCCCCCGGCGACACAAACACCTGCAGGGCGCAGGCGCTGCCGTCGTAGCTCCAAGCTGTTATGAGCTGCCGTCGTAGCTCACCCACACGTGCTGTTAGGGCAACACCTGCCTGTGTCGCCGGGGGGCGTCCACGACCACCCCAGTGACACAAACACCGTTACCCAAGCAGCTGTTATCTGAGCAGGTCTTACCTGAGCGGGGGGCAGCAGCGCCATGGCATCGGAGTCGGCGCAGTTGTCGCCTGCCACCTCCCCCCCCACCACCACCGCCACACACGCGGTCGGCCGAGATCGCATCTCCACCGCAATGCTTTGTGCAAACGAGTTGTTGGGGGCAAACCCGTAGCCTATGGCGCTGGTGGGAGGAGAGAGAGGGTAATGAGGGGGAGAGGGGGGGTGGGGCAGGAATGGTAAATTGAGAGAACATAAAGGGATTGGGTAGGGGGCAAGGAAGGGGGCAAGGCCGGGGGCAAGGCCGGGGGCAAGGAAGGGGGCAAGGAAGGGGGCAAGGAAGGGGGCAAGGCCGGGGGAAAGGAAGGGGGCAAGGAAGGGGCCAAGGAAGGGGGCAAGGCCGGGGGCAGGGGAGGGGGCAAGCCTGGGGACCAAGTCAGAGGTACTCATCTGCCCTCTGCTCCTCTCCCGCATGCCATCTCGTGCCTCCCGTCCATCCATGACTCTAAAATAGATTCACCATCAACTAACACCTTCTTTTGAGGCGCCTCAAAAGTCGTCTCCTACCAGCTCCCCTCGCCTTCCCGAGCGGTCTTCTCCCTCCTGCGCTCCTCGCCCTCCCATCCCTCTCTGACTTGTAGCTCTGTGCAAGTGGGGGGCACCCCCCAGCCCCCTCACCACCCCGAGCTCCCCCCACACATGGTCTTCTCCCCGCAGTGGCACAAAGCCTCGGTCCATCCTTCCCTTCCCCTTGTCCCTCACCTTAACGCGCCTCCCACACGCGGTCTTCTCCCCCGCAGTGAGCCCCCGGTTGCCCCAGCGGTTGTGATCCTTTCAGGCTTACCATCCATCCTTCCCTTCCCCTTGTCCCTCACCTCTTAGCGCTCCGCCCACACGCGGTCTTCTCCCCCGCAGTGATCACGAACGCGAGCCCCCGGTTGCCCCAACTGTTGTAATCCGCGCTCGCCGCAAACGAAAACGAGAACGCCGCCTCAAACGCCACCAATTCCCCACCACTGCTGCTGCCGCTTCCAGTGCCGCCTGCCTCGGTGCCGAGGCTGAGGTTTAGGCTCGGGATGGAGAGGGCGCAGCCGGCAGCGTTGGTGGTGGTGTCGAGCCAGATGGGGAAGTTTGGTCCGGGGCCCACCTGGGCATCGCCATTGAGCTGGAAGAAGGGCGAGGAGAGCATAGGGGAGGAGGAGGAGGAGGAGAAGCCGACACAGGAGATGCTGGTAGCAGTGACGTTGCAGGGGCCAGAGGAGGGGGCGGATGGAGGAGGGGGAGGTGCAGTGGCAGTACCAGCAGTAGTGGCGGTACCAACACCAGTACCAGCAGTAGTGGCGGTACCAACACCAGTACCAGCAGTAGTGGCCGTACCAACACCAGTACCAGCAGTAGTGGCCGTACCAACACCAGTACCAGCAGTAGTGGCGGTACCAACACCAGTACCAGCAGTAGTGGTCGTACCAACACCAGTACCAGCAGTAGTGGCCGTACCAACACCAGTACCAGCAGTAGTGGCGGTACCAACACCAGTACCAGCAGTAGTGGCCGTACCAACAGCAGTACCAGCAGTAGTGGCGGTACCAACAGCAGTAGCAGCAGTAGTGGCGGTACCAACAGCAGTACCAGCAGTAGTGGCGGTACCAACACCAGTACCAGCAGTAGTGGCGGTACCAACACCAGTACCAGCAGTAGTGGCCGTACCAACACCAGTACCAGCAGTAGTGGCGGTACCAACAACCGTACCAGCGTCAGCAGAGGCAGTGGTGAAGAGCCCACCGCCAGCAGCAGAGGGGTTCGTGGCTCCATAGGAGCTGATCGTTGCACTGGAGGTGTAGTCCGAAGCAAGAAACACGTTCGGCGTTTCCGAGCCGCCTGTTGGCTCGGCCAAGCCAGTCAGGTTTGGCTCGGTGCTGGGAGTGTCAGAAGCGGCAGTACCACTGCCATTGGCTTGGGCAGTGGTAGCAGTGGCAGTGAAAGTACTAGTTTCGGCTCCATTCGAGGCTACCGTTGCACCGGTGCTGTAGTCCGAAGCAAGAAACACGTTCGGTGTTCCCGAGCCTGTTGGCTCGGCCAAATCGGTCAGGCTTGGCTCGGCGCTGGGAGTATCAGCAGTGATGTCTCCAGGGGAGGCGGTATTTGCCAGTGGGTCGGCAGCAGCGGCTCTCAGCGTTGCCGCTGCTGAGCAATACAAGAAGATTAGGAGGATCGCGAAGGTAGTATGACGCCCACGGCCCATCGGAACCAGTGGCAGTGGTTCCGGGATCCCTAAAGCGCTGCTCCGAGTCGGAGCCTGAGCGTTGCTCGGAGCCTGAGCGTTATGAGGAGAGAAACGTTTTGAACTCCGATGACCTTCCCGGGGCTCGCCGAGCTCGGAGTTCCGTGTTCTGCGGCGGGGCCCCGTCATCGTGGCCGTGGTTTTCTGCGCAACTCACGCGCGACCTGCGGAGGTGACAGTGGAGTTAGTGTCGCCGCTGCATACGAGGACATAGGTCGAGGCGATACATGTAGGTCGAGACGCTACTTTTGAGTCGACTCAAAAGTGACCTGCGGAGGTGACAGTGGAGTTATTGTCGCCGCTGCATGCGAGGACATAGGTCGAGACGCTACCAGGCGACGACTCCGAGTCGTCGGACAATAGATGATGGAACCCGAACTAGAGTCGGAACTCCTGAGCTTACCACGAAACGAAGGATTCGTGAATCCCTAAAAATCGTTTCGACGAGACTGTTTGGAAGTTATGACACGGAACTTCAGCAGACGAGCAAATTCGCAAACCAGGCGGACGTTGCCCGCACAGCACATCGGCCAACAGCGGCCTGAGGAAGACAATCAGGAGACGCAGTACAGCTTTCCTAAAGCTAACGAGGCTCGACCTAGCTGAACCGAGCTCGAACGACCAACAAACAATTGAACCGAGCAGAACCGCTGCCATTCTGAAAGGCGGAAGGGGTTGGGCAAGGGAAAGGAGGGGGGGATCATTGGAAAAAATTGGAGCAGACCGCCATGTTTTCCTGGGTCCAGCTTGTGGGGCAGTTTGGCTGGCGGGGTGGCTGCCAGAAGCAGCTTTCACCCAGAGCAATTTTGTCTGGCACCAGCCTCTCCACCGCACATACCCCACCTGGCGCTTCGGGCTGGCAGGCGGGGAGGTGCCTTTACGTGGCGGCGATTTCGGCGAAAAAATCCCAGTCCCTTCAAACATGCGTTCACGAGGTGTACGATTGCACGAAATTCCTCATTACATTGCAGAGTAGCTCGCTCAGGGTGGCTGATGTTTTCGCCGTTTGGTAACTAGGGGAGAATGTAGTGGGAGCAGCTAATTGGTAGGTGGTTTTGCAGTGTTTTTGCCGCGAATTGGACGGCGAGGTTCGCGAAAAGTGTTGAATTGAGCTGCACGAATTGGTTGTTCCAGTAGCTTGGTTGTGTACACTGTTGAATTTCTTGGCACAACGGTGGGGCTGGTCGGAACTCGGTAAAAGCTGACAGTGTAGCTCAGTGTTTGTTGATCCAGGAGTGTTCAAAAGAAGTAGTATCAGTCATTTCAGAAAACTACCTATTTTCCGAACGTGATTGTAAAGATGCTCATGTCTGTGAGATGAAAGATTCGCAAGGCCACGTGGCATGCGGTGGCTGGCAGTGTCCAACTTCCCCGCGCTTGGCATCCTGAGCATGGCGCGGCGCTCAGGGATTTATCGACCACAATCTGAGCCGTTTGAGCTCGTCCCTCGTTCCAGCGATGGCTGATACCAACCGGCTGGCAAATCCAAGAACAGTGCCTCGGACCGGCCTACACTTTGCCAGGAGTCAGGAGTCTGGCAGGACCAGCCAGCAGCACAAAGAGATTGAGGATTCACTTGACATGACACATATTGACCACAAATTCACAGATTCACACATTCACTTCACACATTCACCGCCCACGGATACATAGCTATCAGAGGAACAAGGCAGCCACAGACTGACAGCACATTGAGAATCCGCAGCCTGTGAAACTGCGACAGTAGCCTTCGCTGATCTCTATCTTTCGGAGGCTCTTTCTCTCCGTGCATCATGGCGTTTACCATTGTCGCTCAGCCTACTACCCCTTTTGAGGGACAGAAACCTGGGACCTCGGGACTGAGGAAGAAGGTAGCGCTCTGGCTTTGTTCACGCAAAAAAACATCGAATTCCTGATTTTATCTCAGAAAATATTCAAGATTCGGTTCAATTTGTCCTGTTTTTCAGGTCACGGTCTTCCAACAGCCGAATTACCTGGCGAATTTCGTTCAGGCAACCTTCAACTCCCTTCCCGCTGACAAGATTCAGGGTGAGCGTGCCGTCTAGACCCTCTTTTTCTACATTCCTCTGTAGATGCGCGATTAAGAGACTCTTCACAGTAGGGTCAGGCCTCAGCCTTTCCGGGTCTCAGCCTTTCGGACACCGAGTCTCGGCCTTTTGGACTCCGAGTCTCAGAATTTCGGGCACCGAATCTCAATCAGAAATCACCATTCGTGACTTTGACATGGCCTGGTCTCGTTCCTCCCCTGTTCAGGCTGCACTCTCGTGGTTTCCGGCGACGGTCGCTACTATTCCAAGGACGCGGTTCAGGTAACGCCGTCCGCGTGCCTTCCGTTTCCTGTTCGTCGTTGGTTCCGTGAAGACTTGAATCCTTGACGTCTTGAATTCGAAATTAGCTTGAGTCCTTGACGGCATAAATCCATGTCGACTTGAATCCTTGACGACTTGAATCCGTGACGACTTGGACCCGTGACAGCTGAATCCGTGACGAAATGAAGCGATGACAACCACATCGATTCTCGACGAGTTCAATCCTTGACGACTTGAATGCATGGCAGATTATCGCCAAGCTCGCGGCTGGCAATGGAGTTCGTCGGGTCTGGGTGGGCCAGGACAGCCTGTTCATGGGACGTCTCTCATTCTCGTTGTTGAATTTGTCTGGTAAAATCGAATGCGTTACAGATTATCGCCAAGCTCGCAGCTGGCAATGGAGTTCGCCGGATCTGGGTGGGCCAGGACAGCCTCCTTTCCACGCCAGCTGTGTCTGGAATCATCCGCGATCGCGTCGGCATCCAGGTAACGATACTCCGTTTTTCTCCACTACCGATTCCACACTTTCTTGATGAAACCTGAAATCTTAGTTTCCAGCGTTGAAATCTTTGGCGCCTTCCCTCGACCTATCCGCCCTGAATTCTCTCAACCGTGGCTGGTTATGCCGATAGTACTACCTACCTCCTGGCACTTTGCTGCTTGCAACAGGGCGACAGGGCGTACGGAGCGTTCGTTCTCACGGCCAGCCACAACCCCGGTGGGGACCACGCGGACTTTGGCTGGTTATGCTGAGAGTACTACCTACCTCGTGTCACTTCGCTGCTTGAAACAGGGGGACAAGGCGTACGGGGCGTTCATTCTCACTGCCAGCCACAACCCCGGTGGGCCCCACGAGGACTTTGGCATCAAGTACAACTGCGAGAACGGAGGGCCGGCTCCTGAAGGCCTGACGGACCAGATCTACAAGCACACCACGACCATCTCGGAGCTCAAGATCGCTGAAGGGCTGCCCGAGGTACGTTAGTGAGGCGCTGTAGAATGCCTTTCACAGGGACTTGAGAGTATCGTGTACAGCTGCGAGAACGGAGGACCGGCTCCTGAAGGCCTGACGGACCAGATCTACAAGCACACCACGACCATTCCGGAGCTCAAGGTCGCGGAAGGCCTGCCCGAGGTATCATGCGTTTTTTCTCTCTGGGTTCTTCATTCTGGCTGGTCCATAGGTTGCTTTCGTTTCGGCCGTGGAGAACGTGAGGCCTTCTCTGACTGGCATTGAAACCCAGAACATGCTAGCTTTCTACTGCTTCTGCGTCCTGTTTTACAACTTCCTTTTTGTCTAGAGTTCGATCATTTACTCCTTCCCTCTTCCACCGTTATGTCTGACTCTCCTGCATTCGGTTTGGGCTCAGAAACTTTCGTCCACATTCCCTCTGGCTTCCCTGTGGCTGCTGCAGGTCGACATCAGCACCATCGGCCTGCAGTCCTTTGACGGTCCGAATGGCAAGTTCGAAGTGGAGGTGTTCGACTCCGCTGAGGATTACATCAAACTCATGAAGTCAGTCTCCCAACCCTCTACACCTATACCGTGTCCTGCTTTTGAGGCGCCTCAAAAGCCCTCTACACCTGTACCGTGTCCTTTCCTTGTTTGACGGTGCTGTGACACTCTCGACCAGCCCTCGAACGCATGTTTCTTCCCCCCCGCATTCACCTGTCTTCACTGTTAATCTCCCCTTCTCTCGGTGCATTGCAAGTCGCTGTTGAACCTGTTTTCAACCCCCAACGTCCTTTTGTTTGCACCCTTGGCTCAGGACCATATTTGACTTCGACGCCATTCGAGCACTCCTCAAGAACCCAAAGTTCTCCTTCCTGTACGTCCTTATGCATCGTTCGTTTTGCTGTAGGTGTATTTTGAGAATTCTCAGAAATACTTCAACAGCAAAGATTTCCTTCCTGTCCATTCTTAAGAATCGTCATTCTGTCAACCGAGTTCGATCTCTAGGCATCTCCTCCTCTAGCTGTCCTGGTTCATTCATGTGTGATGACCCAGATTTCCCTTGCCTCCTCTTATCCCCCCACCCCAACCTCATCCTTCTCCTTTCGCCCTCTGCCCTCACAGGCTGGACGGTCTGCATGGTGTGGCTGGTGCATACGCGGAGAAGCTCTTTGTGCGTGAGCTGGGAGTGCCAGCCTCGTCCCTTGTCAACTGTGTGCCTAAGGTACGTTGCCAGCCTCATGCTGATGTGACACACTCATGTGCATGGACAGCCCTGGTGCATATCCATCCCATCCGATGGCTTCTCTCTCATACACCCTGGTGGAGGAAATGGGCCTGGGCGGGCAAGGAGGCACCTGAGATGGTTTTTGAGAATTCTCAAAAGCCAACTCAACTCACATGGCTCTCTCTCACACGCCCAAGTGGAGCCAATGGGGCTGGGTGGGCAAGGAGGCACCTGACCTTCTTCATCCCTCTTCTCCCCCCCCCCCCCCGGCCCACCCTTCTGCATCGCCTGCTTTTCTTCCCGGCAATTCAGGATGACTTTGGCAGCGGTCACCCCGACCCCATGACCTGGTGGAGGCGATGAGGCTGGGCAAGCACCAGCCTGCGCAGGAGCCGCCTGAATTCCTCCCTCTCATAACTGACTGTTTCCTCTGGTCCCTGTTTCACCATTCAGGAAGACTTTGGCGGCGGGCACCCCGACCCCAACCTGACGTACGCCCATGACCTGGTGGAGGCGATGGGGCTGGGCAAGCACCAGCCTGCGCAGGAGCCACCTGAATTCGGTGCTGCTTGTGACGGCGATGCCGATCGCAACATGGTCCTGGGCAAGAGGTGGGTGCATCATGGTTGTTGAATTGCATAGTCTGCAAACTGAACTCGGCGCTGCCTGTCACGGACATGCTGACCGCAACATGGTCCTGGGCAAGAGGTGGGTGCACGATGGTTGTTGAAATGCATGGTCTGCAAAATGAATTTGATGCTGCCTGTGACGGTGATGCCGATCGCAACATGGTTCCGGGCAAGAGGTAAGTGCAAGTTGGTTACAGAATGCACATTAAAGATGAATGTTATGCAGGTTTTGGTATGGCTTGCCATGGCGATGCGAAAGTGGTGCCGGTAATATGTGACTCCCTCGGACTCGGTGTCCATCATAGCAGCCCAACGCGGTGGCCAGCATCCCGTACTTCAGTTCAGGGGCGGATGGGCTTACAGCTGGTTCTTCTCCGTTCTTTGCCCTGGGAGACGTCTCAATGCTTGCCTCCTTCCCTTCTGCTCTCCATCACCCTCTCCTTGTCTTCCTTCCGCAGCAGGTTCTTTGTGACTCCCTCTGACTCGGTGGCCATCACAGCAGCCAACGCAGTGGCCACCATCCCCTACTTCCGAGGCTGGTGGCCCTGACGGTCCTGCTCTGTCTGGGAGGAGCCTCAACACTCACTTTCCTCCTTGCTTTCC